GGGCCGCAGGTCGGATTCGAACCCTGGGCCGCTGCAGCAAGGACTCAGCCTTGGTACATGGGGCGCCCTGCAAAACATTTCCTGTTCATGCACTTTTGGTTTGGCACTTATTTTTATTCCCACAGAGCTTTCTTTTACAGTTAACACAATTATTTTGCCTCTCTAAAGGCGAAAATATGTGGATATTCCCCTTTTAGTAAATGAGCAAGTTTCTTTCATAAAATACTTTACAACAGGAGATAAAGAGAAGACAGAAGGAGAGGAATTGAATTTTAGGCCCTTTAAAAATGGCCCACAAATCATGACTGGAGACTATATAGCTCCACTGTCACGACTAGATGGTGAAAAATGGAGTGTTTCAAAGAAAACCATTCTGTTTATCCAGTAACTAAACACTTATTGCCCAGTGTGTCAATGGTAACAAAACAGATACAAATTAAGTCATTTATCAAAATAACAATGTGATACACTTTCAGTCAATTGTAATGGACTCTTGATTGAGAAAAATTAAGTCACTGGTGCAAGGAACAACTTCATTAAGAGCACAGACAGACAAAAAGGATAGTGTGATGAAACAAAGTTCTTTTTTTACGACAGCGATCATTACAGTGGGTAAAACTGAAGAAAATATAATTGACCGTTTGTGTTGAGATTGATTTCTGTTTTAGGAGGAGATGAGAGGAGAGTTAAGTAACAGAAACTACTTGAACAGTCTCCTAGGCGTTCTCCTTTCCCTGATTCTCATACCACTTCTAAAGAGCGAAGAATAGAGACACGGATACATACTGTGACTAATGAGAAGTAGATAAAACACAATGTTGAGAGATCAAAGTCAATTTCCTGAGTGATATGAGAGGAGAGTAGAAGAGAAACTGCACTTTCGGTGAGAAAAATGATTGATGGATTGAACAAGTTTGTGTGAATGTGTGTGGAAAGAGCACCGTGTGCAGACAGATAATGGGGGGATAATGAGTAGGAGACAGATGGTGTGAAAGAGAAGAAACCTTGGAGTGTCAGAATGTGAAAGCAAACTGTGGAGAAGTCATAAGAGACGCTGAAGCAATCAATGATTCTGTGCATAGGTTTTTGTGTTAACTGAACTAGGTGTGTTTGGGTGCAAGTCAGTTTAATCCCTGATTTGTTGAGGGAGTCTCTGTTCGTCTGGGTGATTTGTACAAGTTTGCATTTGCATGTCCACAACATACACAAAAGCTCTGTCCCTGGCTCTTGAAGTTTGTGTTTTACCTCCTATTGATTTTATTATTGAGTTAATGGGCACTCGTGTTTTCTTTCTCCGGTAGGTTTTTTGTGCTATGATTTCAGGACTTTGAGAATGCGGCTCAATTCATAAATGTGTATTCCTGACATGTTTACATGCGTGCGTGTCTGCATGCTAATGTGTCGTGTCACTAACCGTCGGGTTCAGGCAGCCGTGATAGGCAGTAGTACTCTTTATGTGTGATGAGGTTGGGCAGACCTCTGAATAGACTGCGGCACAGTTTACACTCGAAGATGGTGTCCACTTCCCTCAGCAGCATGTGTTTCAGCTGGCTGGTGCCTGCAAGCCAAAGAAAAGCAGTGGGGATTACTTCCAGTGATTTAAGGGAGAATTATAAAGACATATAGAGACAGTATCTTTTGGCTGCCAGTGGGCATCTTACGTACAGTATCTTGTAATATATGAACAAACCCATAATCATGGTAGTGTTAGAAAGAGAAAGGGAGCACTATAAAGCAGGTTACCTTTGCCATTATAGATCATGCTCTTTCTATGGAGTGTGTACAATCGTAAACAATCTAAATTTATTTATACTTGTCTTGTAATTGTTAGAAAGGAATCTGCTGTGTTGTATACTGGTGTCGAACCCAGATTTAGGCTACAAAGTACAAATTGTCAAAAAACAACAACATTTGTTTTCAACATGCAGAAATGTATAAAAAATGTATATGATCATCAATATTTTTAAGAACACAAGGAAAAAAGAAAAAAAACAAATTCCACTCTGTATGAGCTTAATTTGCCACATCCCAGTAAAAATCTCATTGACCTTTAAAAGGGCTCAGATGATGATTGCCTTTGTATCAAGTGCTACTTTTCCGTCAATGTCGTCATCTCCTGTACTTTGTCAGCATGCTGACTCATATCTTCAATTTAATTACAATTTTACCATATGGAAGTATTCAGTGCTTTGTTGGATATCTGACTCATATTTATACAAAAGTAATTTGTACTCCTCTGGCTCTGTCTAAGTAACAGCATGTATTGTTGGCTCTGTGGGACATTTTACTCACACTTGTGGGCTTGCACACATACACACGTTTCATGCAAAATCACTGGCTGAACGCTGTTATGGTGACTCACACAGATGTCAGTACCTGCACAACTTGCTGTCTCACACTCACACACACACACACACTGTTGCATCCTCTCACATGTCACTTCATCCTCATTCAGATTCATCTATTGCTCTTTTGCCACTGGCTTAGTAAAGATGCAACTTCGGTGTTGTGGCATGATCGCATACCACAACAGCAGGGGATAACCGCGCTGGCCCTATGACATTATGGCCCTTCCTGTCTGGGAGCTGTGCCGACCAGTGACAGTCTCAACCCTTCAATGAGCTTTGGTTGCTGTGCTTAACTCAGTGCAGCTGCCTCAGAACATGTGTGTAGGCAACAAGGGAAAAAGCAGCAGTTGTAAAAGTGCTACGTTCTGCTTTGCATACTTAGATAGCTTTTGCATAAGGAAATTGATCTATTGAAGCTAATAGCTAAAAGTCTGCTTCTGTGTTAATGCAAAGGAAGTATTTCCCGCTATTGTTTTACATTAAATACTCCACGGCAACTAACCACTGGAAAGCTTGAATCCACTAGAGGAAGTGCTGGCAACATTATTTTATAATAACAATTGGTCAGCATCGAACACATTCTTTTATTTTTATCTTCATCTTCTTATCTTCAGTCTTAAATATTTGGCTAAAAACACAGACACAGGTGCACATCATAAATAATAATAAATAAGTGAATGGATAATAAGAAGACACAAAGACACAAACCTGAACGGAAGCATTCAATTATCTGCTGAATCCCAGACTTGGAGGTCTGCAGAGGCTGCTGGAGCAGAGGTGGATCTCCAGGCTCCACACAGAAACCTAGCGAGCGAGAGAGACAGAGGACGTCTTATCAAAGTGAGCATATAATTACGCAGAGAGTGTGACAGTCTTTGAGAAATGCACCATCACCTGTGAATTCCGGGGACCTGGTAAGACGCAAAGTATATTGCGGCGTGCTTAAAAGATATGTGCAATCACAGTCAGACAATGAGGTCTGTATGGGACAGTGATTCACTCTGACCTCATTACCTCCTCGCACACACACACACACACACATAGACACACACTAAAGGACAACTATGAGAAAGCAGGTCATCTATCTTTTCTATCCAATTTCAGTATATCATTAAATATATCCCTCATTCCTTAGTTTTATCGAAGATGTGATGAGAAGGGAAGTACAGGGCTCAGACGTTCAAAGAGGAACAGAAAACATTTCTCACTAACTCAATCTTGCGGTGATGCTTGTCCAGAGGACAACGGCTCAAATGGGAATATTGGCAAACATGCAGTGGGGGAGCAGAGGCATGCTGGTGGCAAATTTTTCTGCTTAGTCCAACTGTGTTCAGAGCCAGTGCAGCATCTGATACTTCAGCTTGGGTATCACACAGAGCCACTTTATCAGTCGAAACGGGAACGTGACCAGGAGGAAATGTATTGATGTGTATTGGAAAATGTTTTTTGCTTTTGCTCGACTTCAGTCACCAGGGAGTGAAGGGTCAGCTGGAGAACAGCAATCCTGGTGCTAGTAGGGATTTAATGTTTTGTTTGATTTACTGACCTGCTTTTACAATTTCTTTGTCACTTCATAACTTTTATCGTTTGTGTACTACAATAATACTGCAAGGACACTGCAGAAATCACCTTATGTCCTTCATACTTCTGGTTGCTTCAAAGCTTTATTAAATTAAAACATCTCACTATTCCACTCACTGCAGCCCATGCTAGCCAATGACGACATCAGTTAAATGTCTAAAACAAAAATATGTATGTGCAATTATATTATTTAGGTCAGAGATGTATTTTAACTTCAAAATGTAATCAGTCTTTTATGGCTTGCTTTCTGTCAAATCATTAACAATCCTGATTAAAATACTGCAGAGAACAAACACCACAAATGACTCAAAGTACAAAACACGTAGTTCTACAAAAAAACAAAACAAATATGTCTTTAGGGTGTTATTTTTTTTTACTTATTGATCTCAAACAAACACGTTTATTTTTCCTTTGTATAAAACATTAAATATAAAATAGCAGGAGTGGGGCTTGGGTTCCTGCATTATTGATGCAAGCTGACTGTGGCTCCATGACCCACAATGGGCTACTGAGATGGATAGTGGAGAGATAAAGTGCTCTCATTCTACCCGTTTCCATGCATTTTAATTTCAGCAACTTCATTTTTCCATCAATACCATCTTAACTTTTCATGGAGATGGGCATACAAACAGAGGGCTGAACAGCCACAAAAAGCAGACCAATTACACTCACAAACATCAACACAGACCCTGTAATCACCTCAAACACTTAAACTTAATTTCTCACATCATATTGATGTGAAAGAAGGTGCTGCAACAAAAAGAACATTTTGTAACAGCGATGTCTGGGACAAAGCTTTAAATAAAATATTGTCAGTGTTTCCAGCTGTGACAAATGTCCACTGTTTGTTCGGCTTTGAAGTATGAACTTCAATTACAGGCTGAAAAGCACTATTTCTGGTTAGTTAAGATGCACCACTGTCAATCAGAGGACAATGCTGTGTTTTGTTCATTCATGGCAACATATAAAATGATTTTTGTCTGTTTTGCTATTTAACCAGACAAAATTTCACACTTTTTGTAGGTTTTGTTCTAGCTGAGATTATGCTACTTCTGATCAGACAACAAGACTACAAGTGGAGACATGCATTAAAGCCTTGTTGGCCTCACACTTGCTTGAATGCACATAGACAAGCACATAAACCGATACTACAGGGTAAGTAGTGCAACATGGCAACGTGTATGTGGGTGTGTTGGTGAATGAGAGACAGACAGAAGACAAAAAGACCAGCAGACAGGCTGACACACCCTGAAAGATGCCGACAGAAAGAGCTAGAAATGTGAATGACAACTGTGTAAGCGGGTGTGACAGAGAGAGATGGAGATTATGTATTAATGTGTGACAGAATGTGTTTTCCTCATCCCCATCCCCCCACACCTCTCCCAGGCAAGCTGCTATATAATCCCAGCAGGGCGGGTCAGTGACCCGCTGACCTCCACACCCCTCTGCAACAGGGTCAAAGATCAACCAATCAGAAACGTCTGTTGAAGTAAACAGCTTCCTTTTACTATGAGTGGGGAAACTCTCAGCAGCACAGTTAGAAATGAACTCACAGTAGCAGGATTCACATCTGAATCAAGACATCTACCTCGGTTCAGAAAGCAATGATGGAAGGAGGAAAGCTAAGGATTGTGGGCAGCCAAGCCAAAAGGAAGGAAGGAAACAAGCAAACATGTCAGCATGTATAACGTTTTAATCCTATTTTAAAGGTGGGTTTAGGTTATATCGTTTGTTTGGAACAATTTCCTACTCAGTTAATGGCCTGTGTCTGTTCCTTTAATGCCCTCCACACACACTGTCACTTACACAGTGAGAGTAAACTAGGGCTGACACCTTCTGGTCGGTGGGTCAGTTGTTTGGTCAATATGCTGTCGTCCAACCAGATTCTCACTGCTCGGACAATCGCTATTGTTACTTTAATTAGGAGAAAAGCTTCTTAGTCTGTTATCTGGGGTCAGGAGGCACAACATGAAGACATAATATATATTGACCTAAGCTATATTGTTAGAAGTAACCTTCATTATGTATGAAAATAAATGTAGTTCTGTTTTAATAATCAAAACAGTCAAAAACACAAGTCAAAACACCTTCAACTTCAACTTGGACTGGAGACTGCAGGGCTTAACTTACTGAACATTTACTCAGCTCCAAACTAATTGACACAATGTCAAATAACCAGCAAAAATCTCTACATCAGCCCGCAGCCTCATAGGACAGAGGAGCTGAGTGGATGAAGGTTTTCTTTTATGGTAACGTGAGTGTGCATTTTACTACGGACTGCTACGGAGTAACAAGGGCTAATAACAGGCCAGTAACGAAGATTCACGCTCAACGATGGATTGATACGGTTATCGACTGTCCGTAACCCGACTTCAACTCTGAAGCTGTAAGGAAGCCATGTTTATGTTGCTTTAGTGTTCATTTTGTTAGTTAGCCTTTGCTTTAGCATGTTGCTAAATGGCTCATTCCTCTGGCTGAGGGATTCTGGACTAATATTGTAATGTTTAGGGACAACAGAGAGAAACTGTGAGAATGTAAAGCATCATTAGAAGCCTAATTTGAAACTGTGATTAGCACCCAGCAGCTAGATTTATTTAACCTAGAACAACATGCAGTTCTCACCCCCCCCTTTCAGAATTGTAACAGGCTTCTTTCGGTTTCCATTTTTTTCCCTGCGAGGACACACCATTTGATTCTATTTACACAGCCAGCCACACTGCGATGCTCTGGCAGTGAAGCTACACAGGCTGACAGACAGTTGTAGCCTGGGGGTGGATGAATCAAAGCAGCAGGAAGTGCAGAGGGAAGAAAACCTAACCCACCTGTGTTATGACCATGGCTGCCGGCGCCGGTCTGCTGAAGCCGCTCCTCGGTCTGGCAGCTCTGGTCCCTGGTCTCAGTTTGGTTTTCAGGCAGCAGAGGCGGAATGGGCTTCCACAGAGGCTTGGCCTGGGCAGAAGCGTCGTCCTTTTCTTGGACGTCTATCGGAGATTCCTCCGGGTCCAAGTTCCCCGACGGTGCCTCAGCTGAAGCGAGGGTCTGGAGTTGGGCTTGATCACAAGGCTGGTCTCCTTCTGGGGTTGCTTCCTGTGGTGGAGGCTGGGTGTCTGACTGGAGCTGGCCTTCCTCCATCGCCGCCTGACCACCGCTCTGGGGGACCAAAACCAGAAAACCAGAAAAGCATGAGCAACAGAAAAATGACACAAATATAAAACGAGTAAGTAAAGCCACAATGTGTAAATGTAAAAAATATGAGTGTGTTGCTTTCAGTCCAATAATCTGAGTGTCTTTCTTCATATTACCACTGGATGGCACCAACGTCAGAAGTGTTAAAATTCAATACATAATGACTTAAAGAAATACACTAACAATCAAATTACTTTAACCATATGTTGATTTTAGATTTTGCCAGCATCTACTTTGCATTGTGAAGTTTAGGGGTCAGATTATAGGGAACAAACAAGAAAAGTGTTACCCACACACACACACACACACGCAATCTTGTAAATTAAACATGATCATGGCTTAAATCCAACAGAGGAAAGCATGTCCATCACAAACAAAATTTGTTGTTGCATATTTTAGGCAGAATGAGGAGTCACAGCAGTTGAGAGAGAGAGAGAGAGATAGAGTATGTGTGTGTGTGTGTGTGTGTGTGTGTGTCTCTGTGGCTGTCATGTCTCCAGAAGTGTCCAGGGATTTTGTAGGTGGACATTAACCTTGTCGCACACAGCCACCCTTCAGCAGATAAGTGACTCCACACCAACCCATCAGTGTGCACACATACATCTATCTGTGTGTGTGTAGCTGTGTCTCTTGACCAGACCTCCTTTCTCTTTTTAAGTCCCCAATCTTTTCTCCTCTCCCACCCACCAATTTATCCTCATTTTCTCTCTCTGTCTGTCGGTCTCTCTCACTCCTTGTGTCCCCGCTGCCCTTGAAGAGGGATAAATGACTCCCACCGTTCAGGCACATTACAGAACATCACCACAGGACAAGTGGGCCACTTGGACACCATGTCACCAGTACACACACATACACACACACACACACACACACACACACACACACACACCACAGCATAACCAAATGACCACACAATAGCTCTACAGTATGTTACACATGCTCAGTGAAGCCATATGTGCAGTACAATGCACCTAACTCCTTACAGCCAATGAACACAATCAATCTGAGTAAAGAGATGAAAAAAAAAACAAAAAAATAACATTTTCATCAAAATGTAAAACTTCTATGGCAAGAAAATAAAACATCAAAATCTTGACTGCCCAGTGGCCAGGTAATGAAACACCAGGGAGCCCCACCATTTAGGTAGCATATGAATTCAATCAATCAATTATCATTATGTTTCATTGACAAAGCGGTAAATGGGAAGCATGAGAAAGGGGACTGATCGGAGGAGGTGGACTAGTCACTTACTGTTTAATAAAACTACTAACTGGAATACAGAGAGTGGATTATACTGTTTATGACTGATTACTGAACATGATTTATTTCCCACATCCATAAAAATAGGAATATTCCTTACATCAATATATGATATGATCCTCTCCGTTAGTTTAATCATGATCCCAGACTGTAATGAAGATCATTTCTGAACAAAGCGCTCGCATTAAATGAGCAACTGCTGTCTCTGTGGTGCTTCCTAGAATACGAATAAGTGAATTTATCGCAATACAATGAGTTTCATTGTATTGCCTGGTGTCTGAGCACAAACTGTATGTCCCTCGTGGAGGTAAAGGCTATGAAATAAAGAGGGCATGCTGTAATTTCCCTGTGCACAACAAAAAGTGTTAGACATGAATAAACAAAGAATCAAACACACAGGCATAATACAGGGTTGGGATTAAGTCTAGTTCTGGAATAAAACAGACCTTGACTAAATTTAATCAGTCTCCAGGAAACTGAGCACCTATTGTGATAAATGTAAAGTTTGGCTGTCACATATGCTAATAGAGAGTAAAGTGTGTCTGTAAGAGTGTCTGGTAAACCAGGATAAAGACATTCAGAAGGTGCCTTTGCAGTAATTTACAATGTGTTAGTGGCCTATACCGTATACTCGTCAGCCAAGCATCAAATTAATTCTTCTCCACGGACACACATGGTCAAATTTGACCATTACATGATAGTTGTGGGGGTCGGGCTGGGTCTTAACATTAAAGAAGTGTGTTTTGCACAATCTGACAGTGAAAGGTGTGAGGCTGGACAATAACATCTAGACATTGCTGTCTTTTTTTTTTCCAGTACCTGTCTGCGGTGACAGTGAGAGCTCTTCCTCCCAGTGGACTTCTGGGCCTTCACCATGCTGCCAAGACTGGCCTGTGGCACCACACGTTCACTACCAGCACACACCTGTAACCTGCAACAACACTCTACATGAGCCAGGGAAAGGCTAAGGATAAGAAATTACAGACGCTTCTCATGTCTCATCCTAGCACTGTCTTCATGTTTATTTACATTGATTCACACCTAATAGCCACCTGTTACCTTGCAACAACTAAACTTTTGCTAAGAACTGTTATTAAGTGTGCGTTACATGTGGCTGCACTACCGCCTGCTGCATCATTGATACTTAAACATTTGAGGAAAAGAGGACAATGCAATGGAAATGCTAACAGATATGTGTTCATTTTCTAACCACTATACTCGTAACTATCACAATGCAATTAAAATACAGTGCTTACCGTACATGTTATCATTTTCTGTTTTTAGACTATTATGTTCTGACATCCACAAATAGACCAACCAGATCCTTCTTTATTCAAAAAGATCAAATTAATTAAAGTTGGCAAATTATATTGATCATTAGAATAAACAACAAAAATCGACTTCTGTTGCCAAACAACACATTTCAGTGCAGAGATTTCTTGTGAAAGCATGTTTAATGCATTAGAAAACACACAGTCAACATAATGGCTCTGTGTGTGTTTACTGGCTGTAGAGTGCTTAGAAACTACCGAGCGACAAACAGGATCTAAATATAAAACAGAATTGAATATTTTAAGGTCACAGTAATGGTTTCCCACAATGCTAATTTGGCTGCTCGTCATATTGCTGGCAGGACAATTAAACCCATGTTACCTGCAGCATTAGTCTGTATGAGGAACACTACCCCTGTGTGCATTTAAAATCAGTACATTGGCCTTCCTAACATAGCGTATGCTAATGGCTGTATGGTTTCAACAGAGCACCTTACAGTGTCAGGAACACTGTTACTGCATATATATATATATATATATATATGTTGCTCTGCATTATAAAACATTTTATAACAAGTAATTGTATGCAAATAACTACTGCTGTAGTCAACATACATACATACATACATACATACACACATGTATATGAAGTACACAAAGGCCTTCTACTGGGAATTGTTGGGAACCTGCCTCTGAAATGCGTACTGTGAGTTGGGATCAACGGATATTCTCCTCATTTCTGGCATATTAGAGTATGTGTCAGGATGAATATTTTGACCAGTTTTCATTATATTGTATTCCCTGCTGGGCAATAAATTAACACCTTGGAACAACCCCACAGTCTTCATATGCAAAGTGATGTACAAAACTCCACTTATTTAGGTTGACGAGAGCGTCAACTAAAACACGCGTGCTTTATTTCATTATATTTTATTTCTATGACAGCATCAATGGTGAAAGAACATGTGTTGTTGCATATGTTGCCCTCTAGTGGCGGTCTACGTTAAAACAGGTCAGTCCAACTCAGCCACATGCACCTGACACCACACTAGTGCTGAATTCCACTGCTTCAAAATATGCATTAGCTGCACTGTGGCATACTGAACAGCCTCATTTGCTTTCCAATTTGTTATCCTCTCTCATACCTACTAGCAACAGTCCAGCATTAGCTGTCATCAAATCGAGCCAAGCAACGGATAACTCTGGACGTCAAAATTAGCGGATAAGCTTTAAATGTTCCAGGAGTCAAATGGTGGGCTAATGAGATGGGCTGCAACTGACAGGTGCTTAATGCAGCGTGGGACACTGGTGTCACAGACTTATGGAAAACTGTAACGAGCAGGCAGCAAAACACCAACCAACTGAGCAGGATGTAAAAAAGGAAAAGTATTTCTCTCTGAATAAAATCCCATCTCTTCTAAGCCTGGGGTCAACATACATTAGTTAATTCTGTTATTTTATGGTAAACTATCCAAAAGTAGTAAATACATGGACTAATAACTAAAAAATAATGCTTGTGCTGTATAACTATGGGGACGGAAATGGAGACATGTCTTTTTGAAGTTCAACACCTACAGTGAAGTTACATGACAGGGAAAGGTAAGTGTGGTGCGCACCTCAGATGCTTCCATGATACAGCCAGTGTCATCATTACATGCACAGGCATACACAGCTTGGGCAGGCTTGTTTTTCCACTGAAACTCCAGCAGAGGGAGACAAAGCTTGGACTGGAAATGTTTTTCCAGTTGAAAAGTTTTGTAGTCTGGTGAGGTCTCCAAAAAGCATGACACGGAGCAACACACACAAGGGGCCACAGAGGGGTTGCCCCAACACGACGTATGTCTCAATACAAAGGATGGGATTTCGCTATACTGTTTCACTAAGGCATGCACACATATGTAGTTCCGCCTAGTGATTGAAGTAGCTCCGGCAACCAGGAGCAAGTGAGACGATTACAATTCAAAACAACAACTATACAACTTGACTAACTTAATTATCTGCCAGAACAATGTCAACATGAAGCCACTGTGTACATGAAAGACAAAGGTCAGACTGCTCTTATGGCCTTGTAATGGGAAATGAAATACTTTGCAGGGTAGCAGCTGTGTAAATCATGTTATCATGCAGGTATGGTCCTCCACAGAGGGATCCCCGTGATTAACAAGAGTTTTTGCATGGAATTAAAAACAAAAAACACTTGTGCACCTGTGCTTTGGGAGCAGTGAATCAGCACCAAACCATGGGTCACACATCGGTTTCAGTAAAGTCACTTGAAGGACTAGACATTGCTTAAAGTTGAATGTGAAGAAGACATGGTTACTACATTTCAATCCCGAGTTTTCAATACACTCTGTTGACTGGATCGGATGGCTGCAGTCAGAGTTCAACATGATATTTAGTCATGAGGTAGATCATAATACTTCATGCTCGACAGTTATTACTGACAACATTGAGAATTTGCAACTACATGCAAAATGCATTATGTCTATCAAGTTGAAACAGCAATATTTATGTCTAATATTAGCAGTGATTTTTTTAAATCTTGGATGAATATGAAAACACACAGACCTATGCACACCACTGTCAAATACACTATGAGCTGTTTTCCATGGGTGACTAGCTCTAACTACAGATGATAAGATTTTCCCAGACTGCAGTCAGAAAACAGACGGACTGTCCACGGTGATGTGTCTGACCAGTGCACACTGTGTTCAAGTGTCAGGGTTACAATCAGACTTTAAAAAGGCGTTTCCAGACTTCCAAACCTCTGTAACAACCACGCATTATCTTTCAAATTCAGGCCGGACACATCAAACAATCTGCGTTTAGTAGTGAGGATGGACCAACTAATTATGAACTGTGCGATATCAGGACAGGAGAGGCTACTTGCAGTGGTGTAGCTGTTACATAACAGATAAACACCACTGGAGTTGAGGCTCATTTGAAGGGGAGTAGACAGGGGAACGTCAGTCTGTCAGGAGTGGAATGCAGTACCAGTCCCAAACAAATGTGGGTAATGCGTGTGTCACACTACATTAATTTAGTAGATATTCTGTGCTAATTCGGCTTCTATACACTGTGTATCCTACACAGGCTTCAGCAGGAGCTGACACCTCGCACTACAAACAGTGCACAGTTGCATGAAATGATGTGTACACAGTGAAAGCGTGGGAGATATGCTATAGGTGGAGTGTGATTTGGGGACTTCATTACTGAACCATTTCTGAGCACAGGTTTGCCTTGTTGAGGTTTAACTGTAATGAAGACACAATTAATTTCAAACAGAGCTATTAGATAGAACATTATTTATATTCTAGCAAAATTAAGAGGCATATTGATGCATTATGCACCTTTCCAGGTTCTATTTATATCAGGAAGGGAGATTAACACTAGCCATTAACTATAATAGGAAATTAGGACTTTGACCGGAAAGTCTGTCTACCCTACCAACTACATCTACAACAAGTCAGGAAACAACCACATTTAAAGGTTGTATTCCTTGATTTTTTTAAAATAATGTTCATTTTAGTTGGTATAATACATAAATAACTGATGATAAGATGATAACATTCAAACTCAAGTGGATTTATCCCTCTTCTCAAAAACTAAAAACCTCTGTGGGTAAATCTGTGTGTAGTTAGCGTGATCCCATGCTGTGATTTTCCCTCCACAGTCTTCAGACTGCTCTACAGAAAACTCTACATTGGTTTTAGTTGCAAGTGTGAGCTTGGGTGAAAATACTGCTCTATTATGTGTTAGCTTGTTAGCTATCTGTAGCCCCGGATGACCTGTTGAGGGTCAGCATTTCACCCCATGCATTCTGGGAAACTCTCAAGCACCCTGTCAACCTGAAGACAAGTAAGCAGGTACAGGAAAAATATATAGGATACCTGCTTACTCCTATTCAGCTTGACATCTGTGCATTAGTGAGCGTCACGGTAAAACTGAGCTTTTACAGAATGAGCCTCATGCAAGAACATATTCCTATTCCTGTTTATTCACCAAATGAGCCATAGGAGGGATGATACCAATAACATTATCATTTCTGCTTATTGGACAGGTCTCGCTTACAGATTCTTCATCAATTTTCTGTGCGGAAAAAGCACAGAATACCATGTAGAGAAAGTTACAGTGATTTTAAGTTTTCTCTCGACTGGAACCATTCTCTTTTCATGTCCCTAGCCATACATTGTTCATCTCAGTCTGATGATTGTCACCTTTTCATGAGTAGATGTGTGTTTGTGAGATTTGACAATTAGCATTAGCAACAAAAATATGACTAAAGAGTAAATAACAACAACTAACTAACAGTAAGAAGACCCTTCACACTGCTGAGCTCCAAGTCCGGCTGTCAGAAACCACTTTGTTGTTCAGAATATTTCCTATTTACTGTAATTAGAAATAATTAATACTAAAGCAAAACAATGTGTCATTGGAGCAGCACTATACAGACATAAAGAGGGAATTGTTCAGGCTACAAGAAGTTTTGCTTTCTAAAGCAAAGTGGTCCATGACTAATATGAAAGGTGGTCATGTGACAATCACAGATATTAGATGAGACAACTTTATAGCAAACAGCAGGTGATTTACACTGTCAGGTGCAACAGAGGATGATACTGGAGGGAACTTTCCTCAACTTGTGCAATGTATTTATAAGCTG